TCTAAAAGATTTCTCTCATTGGACTATAGCAGTACCAAGCCACAGAAATATAAAACCAGGCCGGGCTCAGTGACTCAGCCTGTAATCCCAGCACTTTGGGAGGCCGAGTCGAGTGGATCGCTTGAACCCATGGGTTCAAGACCCACCTGGGCAACTTGGTGAGCCCTTGTCTCTACAATAAATCAAAAAAATTAGCCGGGCATGGTAGCGCGCGCCTGTAGTTCCGGCTACTTGGAAGGCTAAGGCGGAAGGATCACCGGAGCCCAGCAGGTCAAGGTTGCGGTGGCCGGGAGCATGCCACTGCACTCCAGTCTGGGGCGACAGAGTGAGACGTCAACTCAAAAAAAAAAAAAAGAAATATAATACAAGCCACACATGCTACGTTTCTTTAAAAGTAAAAAGAAACAGGTGAAATTGATCGTAATTGCATATCTTATTTAACCCAATATGCTGCCAGTGAAACGTTTAATCAGTATGTACTTATAGAAATATTTTACATTTTTATACTTAGTCTTCTAAATTCAGTTTGCAGACACAAGTAAATTAGGTTAACCACATTCCACGTGTTCAGTAGGCACTATGGCCAGTGGCCACTGTACAAGACAGTGCATGTCTATAGGCTAATTTCCCATAGAAATTAAACACTGGATTTCTTTCCATGATGCATCTAAGTAGGAAACATATGGATCAGTCAACACATGATATACAATCCAACAGTTATCACCAGCCCGTCCTTTGCCCTGTTTCTTTGAATGTGTCTGTATTTCAAAGATGACACAATGGGCTATCAACCACTCTTCTTGCACAAGAGAATACTAGTAATTACTTTCAATCTTCCTGTGTGCTACTCTCTCAAGCAGTTAATGGCCTAGACCATTATCAATGGAGGACTGTTTAAATCAACAGTGGTGTAAAATTAATATGAAATATCAAAATGCCAATAACACAAATGAGACAGCCTAACTGTATGTTAAATGGAACCGAGTTGTGTTGAATTGGATTCATCATGATTCCTGGTTCATAAAACATTCTCATCATGTTCTCTGATATATGAGGTTATTTATTTATTTTACATAATAGAGTCAACATCCAAGAGCAAACCATCCAAACCAAGATCAAGAATTCTCACTGTCACATCAGCTTCCATGGTCCTTCCACACAGAAGTAGCAGCCCAGCATTTAATCACTAAAGAAAGGCTACTCAGCTATCATGCACTCATTCTGTAGAACAGAAAGCAGATGTGAAAGGGTCTGAACTATACTAGAGTTCAACTTTTTACTTTATTTTATTGTATTGTATTTTTGAGTTGGTATCTCACTTTGTCACCCAGGCTAGAGTGTAGTGGCACGATCATGGTTCACCACAGCCTCGACCTCCTGGGCTCAGGCAATCCTTCCGACTTAGCCTCCCAAGTAGCTAGGACTACAGACACATGCCACCATGCCTGGCTAAATCAATGCTTCAATTATTAATTTAATGAACACCATTGAATGGTTCACCCACATTGGGAATAAGATATCCTCTTTCTACATGCTCCCTCTTATATAGGTGACAGACCCAGGTAGGAAGAGCCCATACGATCCTCCCAGAAGGATTTCAGAGTTGCAATGGGGAGGCACTTAACCCATTCTTTCTCTTTGCAAATGGTAGTGGCTCTTGTAGGCATCCTGCCCATAGAATGTGTTCCATGTTGGGGACAGATAACCTATCTCTCTAGTTTAAAGGTTTCTGAATTAAAATAATCTGTCCACATATTGATTTTTTATAATATGATCAATGAATCTATCACCAAACCCAGGAAAACAGAAATATATTACAGATAGGTAGACAGAGATTAGATAGATAGATAAATATAGATAGATTTAATTTTTTGCCTTAAATGGGAAAACAAAGATCTTTATATAATGGACTTCAGTTGTACGGAAACATATTAATATGCTATTCGGTTCATGATCCTCACTGGTCCATGCAGACAAGGAGTTACATCTACGTTCCTCACTAACAAATGTAACAGAAGAGACCTTCTACCTATGGACCACAATTGTGACAACTTGAATTAATCGCAAGCCCTGATCCATGTCACATTATGATCCTTGCATCTTGCAATGGACTCTAGTATTGATTACTCTTTTTGTAAATAATGTAGTAATATAATGAATATTCACAAAACCACAACTCAATATACCAACTACAACTTTGATAATAACCTTTTGATCCTTTACCACCAAGACACAGAGATCTTCAACACTAGATAAGTGTTCACAGAAACAATGGGGTACACATTCATGTTAAAATAAATTATGTCATTTTTTTCATAAATCGGATACGTTTTTGCCAGTGAATCTCTTTGAGCATGGTACAAATCTATTTGTTTCATGGTACATTCCCATCACTGGTCCATAACTAACTCTTTTAATTTTTGTATTTATGTATTCATATTTAATATTCAAAACACTTCCACGAACCAAACAACTAACACACCTAATAGAGTAGCCACTAGCCGCAAATGACTATTTAGATATAAATTAATAAGAATTAAGTCATTTTACAAATTTGGTTACTCATGCACATTAGCCACATTTCAAGCACTCAATAACCACATGTAGCCAGTAGCTGCTGTGTTGTAGAGAATAGAGTATAGAACATCACTACAGAACATTGTGCTGAACAATGCTGGAAGAAAATGCTCTTTACCCTTCAGTAACAGTCTAGGACTTTCTCTAATGAAACTAACTTGGTCCATCATGATTCTTCATTCATGAAACATTATCATCATTGACTCTTGTAGACTCATTTTTATTTGATTTGACTGTTTCCAAAGAAGCTTTGATGAACAACCATAAATCCAGTCTCTTACTTCACAAGCAAAACATCTTTGTGAACAAATGTTTAAATAAACTATGTACGTGTGCATAATGAAATGCAAAGCAGCTGGTAAAAGGAACGAAACAGGCTAGGTTATTTTTATGGTGGCCAGGAGCACAGAATTTAATTATCATCCTTTCATTATTCGACCACTCTCATCACCAGTCCATGTTTTGACCTTTGGTTTATTTTACACATTTATGTAATTATTTGTTTATTTTTAGTACTAAAATTAACATACAACATGTCATCGTGCAAAAACAAGAAGACTAACTCCTTAACCAACACATTCTTAAGTGGACCTTGGATGTACTAAATTAAAGTAATGATAACTCTGGGATAATGAGTGCCCTATTTTCTTCCAATTTGGTCTTGAGGTCTCTCTCAAGAGAGTGGATATAAATCCTAGCCCTGCCCTGATAAGGCTCCAGGAGAAATGGTTGTGTATGTTTACTGGCCTTTCATAGGATACTTCTTCATCCTGGCAGACAGTCTAATGCCTAAGTGTCCAACCTGTTAACAGGTCTCCCTCTCCCAGGAAACTTGTTTTTACCAGCAATTGCCCTTGTGGTTTTTGCCTGACCTATTTATTCCTGCCAAGATACTCTCTGGGAGAGCCCTGACCAGGAAAGAAATTAGATTGAAGAACAGAAGCAGTTTATTACTCACAGATCTGGCATGCTTCACACAGCCAGCATGAAGGAGGGAGTCTATATTGTGGTTCAGGCTGTGATGCAAGCAAGTTTCCTGTGGGGAATTCTAACTGGTGGGTTTAGAGAAGGCCAGTATATCTATGCAGCCCATGCAGGGGGTGCGGGTCAGAGGGGCAAGTCCAGTAGGCTGTATCTAGCTGTCTCATATAGAAGTGGTCACCAGGAGAATCTATCACCTTTAGGAACTGGGGGGAGGTGAAGAATTGGAAACTACATCAAGGGTGACTAGGCCTACTTTTGGAAAGAGAAAGTTAAACTTGCATTTAAAATAAATGCCAAAGCAACATAAAATAAAAAGAATTTACTACAATGAGATATGCTAATCTTTCTCCCATGTTTGGCCTCTCTTGTTTTATTCATTTATTTGTTCATTCAATAATATACTTATTTATGAGCATCCTTGAACAACTCTCCAAAAAAGATTTAAGAACATTACTTACATTTTTCTTAAGTATCTTATCCACTCAAAATAAGAATCAAAATGCTCATAAATATTGCATGATTAAATCAATTATGATTTGTCCATTCTGTGTGTTAGAAAGCAATTATTAGAAAAACAAACACACTGGATCATTTTTAATGGCTCTCACTTGTGTAGAGTTGAATTACTAACCCTTAGTTTATGAAATAGTATACTCATTAGTCTATGCTTGGCCCTTTTACATTTTATTTATTCCTCGAAAAAAATGCTAAAAAAAACTCATGAATCCTCCCCAACAAATAGAAAACTACCAAATCCTTATTTCCGTGGTGTACTTTCTCACACTGAGTTAACATCCCAAACTCTATCAACAGGGAGGTGTCGGTACAAACCAGAGGGCAAGTTAATAGCAGAATGCTATTAAAATAAATGCACAAATATTGATGCTTTCATGTCTCCCGAATTTGTAGAATTGTGTAATCATAAATCTTAGATCATGACAAATGGTCATCAGTCTATGCTTGACCCTCTTTGATTTGCTTATGCATGTATTCATTTACTCATAACAAATCTATAAACGTATGTGAACCCACCCCTATTCTGAAAATATGAAAAATATACCTAACACATATGTGATATACACACATGAAATATATAAACATAACACATGACATATATAAACATAACACATGACATATGTGATCTATATTATATATGTATATATAAGATATAAGCATAACACATATGATATATATGATGCATATTTCTTTTTCTCTTTGCTCATTTGCTACAGAGAACAGCCTAGTGGTATTTTTTTTTTTTAATTTTGTGACAGTTATGCCACATGGGATTAATAACCTTTGGTTCATGACATCCCCATCACTGGTTTGCAGTTGGCCATCTTTAGCTTTATTTATGTGTCCATTCATGTTTAATAATGCAATAAACAACCATCGTCCAACCAACCAACTTCAAAACAACAACACGAGCCATTACTCACATTGGATGGTTCATGGCTCGTTTCCCACAGAGGTTTCAACCAGGATTTTCATCCACAGAGTGTCATTATATTCACTCTGGGGCCTCCATCCTGTAGAACACAAGGCAGATATTGAAAAGGAAGAAAAACCCAATTTCCGAATGACCAGAAGGTGAGATGCACAGGATTAATCATAATCTTTGGTTTATGACACAATCTCACCACTGGCCCAGGCATAAGTCTCATTGCATGTATTTATTCATTTATTAATTTTTATCACTACATTGAATATGGATTAAATCACCAAACTAATCAAAAACAAAAATAATAACTATTGTAAACATTTGTTCCTATGTTTCTTGCCCACAAAAGAACCACCAGATATTCTTCCTAACAGACTCAGATGTGCAGAGTTGGAATGACAATAATCTTTCACTCTAAATACAATGTCATCAGTATTTCCTACTCATCTTTTTCAATGTTTTCATTTATTTTCGAAATACAACAAATTAGATACCTCGTTAGCTCAGTCATAGAGCGTGAGACTCTTAAATACAACAAACACAGATGAACCCACCGCTAATCCAGAACAAAAATATTGATTAGCGTATCCAAATTCTTCGTATCCAGCAAGATAAAGGTCTTGTTTTGTATAGCCCACAGTTGAGTATAAACGGACTCATCTCAATTCTTAGTTCATAAAACAGTATCTTTGTGGTCCATTCTTGATTCACTTTCATCTTGTCATATTTTCACTCAACAAATTCATTTTTAACTCCATGGCAACTACGCTTGAAGCCAGCATTCAGTCAAAGACCAATGGCTGTGCTGTACAACTGCTGATCGTTCCCAACCCACAGCCTCGGCAGCCTAGAACGTGGTAGGTTTTGTTTATATGCAATCTCATAGAAGCAGAGAGTAGAAAGGTGGTTCCTCGGGGCCAAAGGTGAGAGAAATGGGGAGAGTGCATATGAGCCCTAATATAGAACTCGGGGACAATAACTAACCTTAAGAATAAGGCATATAGCATCCTTGAAATTTGCTGAGAGTAGATCTTAAGTATTCTCACCACACACATAAAAAAGGGAACTGTATGAGATGATGATGTGTGAATTAACTTGATGATGGTAAGCATTTCACAATTTACGAGAGGAGACCCCCCAAAAATCTGGGATTATTTTTTGGAGGGCAGACCCCTTGTAGTACAGGCTTCCTCCACTAGAACACTAGATAAGTGTTCTAGGAACCCACAGGCGTCAACGCACCAGCTAGTGTCATTGTAAGAGGCTGCGTTCGGCTTCTGTGCATTTTTGGGGAGATTCTTTCAATACGTTTGTCCATTTCATGATGAGTGAATTATGAGTGCACCTGCGCACACCATGCTGAGTGCTCAGCAGCTTTTGACCAAAAACGGTAGGACCTCTGTGTCCCACACTCCTTATTCACCTGATCTCAGACCGAGCAACTTTTTTCATTTCCCCAGATGAACAAAGTCCTCAAAGGGAAACGTTTTGTGGATGGGAAAGAGGTGAAACAACAAAAAAAGGCAGAAGCACTCAAAGGCATCAAAACTGACAAGTGCGAAAACTGTTTTGAGCGGTGAAAAAAGCATCTCCATAGGTGTACTGCATCAAACAGAAAGCACTTTGAAGGTGAAAGAAGCTTAGACGTGTGAGAATAAATCCAAATTTTTTGATATATAAATTCCAAATTTTGGGGGGTCTTGTATAGCAAAATGTCATGTTGTGCACCTTAAATATATACAATATTCATTTGTCAACTACATCTCTCTAAAATTAGGAAAGAAACCACATTGTCATCATTGGTCCATGCTTGGTTCTTTTTAACTTTATTTACGCATTCATTCGTTTTAACTGTTCAGTCAACACCTGTGAAGCCTGTTTTATTTGCCCGAAGTCCCTTCTCTGGCAGAGAAACCCCAGTGTGCCCATTCTATGGAACATAAAACCCATTAAGAGAAAGCAAATAGCCTCTGAGAACTTTTTTGCTTGTGAATATCAGGTTACCAGACCTGGATTAGTCATAATCCTCTGCCCAGAACAAGTTCTCAGAATTGTTCCATTCGAAGCCTTTATTACATTATTTTATTCCTTGATTAATTTAAATAATGAAATTAACATCTGCAAACCACTCTGATCCTGCTTTGCCTGTCCCTAGTTTGTGAAGAATTAATAATCCTCATGCTTGGTTTATGATCCACTCTCATCCCGGCTGCCGGCATGCCTCTCTCACGTTGACGGCGAAAACCACCCACGACAATAACCACCAAATAACCACTGAGGTTCTCACTCCCCCTCACCCCTCCTAGTCCCCTGCGTTCCTCTACCTTAAACACCTCCTAAATATAATCCCCTTCCCCTATTATATATATGAGGGGTGACCCAACAAAGACGGAATTATTTTTTGGAGAGCGGGCCCCCAGTACAGGCTTTCGCCATTAGGTTGGTATTCTAAGAGCCCGTCGGCATCAGGGTACCAGCTGGCATCATGGTGAGAAGCTATTCCACTAGCCTGAATTTTTCTGTCGGGGGGGGAGATTCGTTCAAAGCATTTGCGCATTTTATATTGGGTGATTTAATGAGCGCACCTGACCAAAACTAGCATGACACCCACGCCCCACCCTCCCTATTAACACAATCTTGCACCAAGCAACTTTTTTTGTTGTTTCCCCAGATGGAAAAAAAAAAAAGGTCCTCAAAGGGAAACTTCTTTGCCAGTGTGGATGCCGTGAAACAAAAAAAAGGCCGAAACACTTAAAGGCATCCAAATTGACGAGTTCAAAATCTATTTTGACCAGTGGGGTAAATGTCTCGATAGTGTTTTCCATCCAACAGACAGTACTTGGAAGGTGACTGAAGCTTAAACACGTAAGAATACATACATTCCAGCCAGGTTCGGTGGCTCAGCCTATAATCCCGCGCTTTGGGAGGTGAGTGGATTGCCGGAGCCCGCGGGTTCGAGACCCGCCTGGGCAACTTGGCGAGACCTCATCTCTACAATAATGCAAAAAAATTAGCCGGCCGTGGTAGCGCGCGCCTGTAGTTCCAGCTACTCGGAAGGCTGAGGCGGAAGGATCGCCGGAGCTCAGCAGGTCGAGGCTGCGGTAGCCGGGAGCGGCCGCTGCACTCCAGTCTGGGTGACAGAGTGAGACACCAATTCAAAAAAAAAAAATAAATAAATACATTCCAGAGTTTCTTCAGTCCTCCCTCATATGGAAAATTTTAGCATATGTATTCCTACAAAATATTTTTTCCTGGGTTAGTGGCTTCCTGAACCCTCTCAGCTGAAATGGGGTCAAGGGAGATTGTAAAATACACAAGCTTAACTTCATAGCACACCCACCAGGTGGGTAACAAAATAACTCAAACCCAGGTCATTGTGTCACCTTCACCTGTGCTCACGTCAGGAGGCAACAAGCTCAGTGGTCACAGTACACGTTACACAGTACGCACTCTACAATGCCCACCTCCCAAATCCAGCCTCAAACCCTGACGAGCTGGCCAACCTCAGGAAAGCTAACTAACCTCTCTGTACCTACTTCCCCATCAGCAAGAGAGTCACACCGCAAATCCCAAAGCAGAGTTTGTTATTATTTCCATGCCAATGGCAACCAGGTAAAACCCCCTCCATCCCACCTCTGTGGCCGCCTCTCATCCAATCTTGGTTCCCTCTGCCGCCGTGCCTGAGCTCTGGTGCTAGACAGACAGACAGACCAGGTTCCACCCCAGCAGGCACTCGAGAGCTGTGTGACTGCAGAGACGTGACCTGGCCTCTCTGTCTTGTGCCCCGGCTTGCAGACTGAGGACAGCAGCACCCTCGTGGGTCCAGCAGGAGGGTGACCTGAACTACGGCCCCAGCCCTGTGCATGCCCGGTCCCTCCCCAGCCCCGTGGCGCCCATCCCGCTGGTCACACAGTCTCCAGTGTGGCCAGAGAAATGAATGCTCTCCATGCTCAGGCCAAGCCCAGGGCTTGGGGGAAAGATGAGACTCGGCAGGAGACCGTCAGGATCTGTTCTTTTGGGGACATGGCATCAAAGCTTAAATGAGTGCCCTGGAAGACTGAAACCAGCTAAGGGGCACACTTTGGAAAATAAAAATTCATTTCATGCGATGGGGTTGCTCTTGGGGGAGCCTATGTCGCGAGATTCTTGATGTTCCAGTTGTTTCCATGGGCCTTACCAAGAAGGCATGGTCAGTTTCCTTCTGCCCTCCCAGACTGGCCTGGACAGCACCACCCAGCACCTCGGGGCAACTCTATATGTTACATGTGTGGGTATAATGTCCTGTATACACTGTGCAGAGTGTTCAGCAATTTTTGACCCAGGAGTTTGAGACCAGCCTGGGCAACATAGTGAGACTCCAACTCTATTTTTAAAAAAGAAAAAAAAAAAAACAATATGACCCCCGTTCCCCACCCTCCCTATTCACCCAACCTCGCCCTGAACAACTTGTTGTTTCCCTGGATGAAAAAAAGTCCTGGAAGGGAAACGTTTTGCCCATGTGGAAGAGGTGAAACAAAAAAAGGCATAAGCACTAAAGGCATCAAAATGGATGCATTCAAAAACTGTTTTGAGCAGTGGCAAAAAGCGTCCCCCTAGGTGTCCTGCATCAAACGGAGAGTACTTTGAAGGTGACTTAAATTTAAACAGGTGAGAATCAACCCACAACTTTTTATGAATAAATCCTGGGTTTTTTGAGTTCCCCTTGCACATCCATGTATGCCCTTGGGGACTTTCACAAGGGACTCACCGAAAGACCTCTGGGCTGGGGTTCAATCCTGCCTTGGCTGCTATCACACCACAGGGCCTTGATCAAGGCTCTTCCCCTCTCAGAGCCTCAGGTGGCAACAGTCCCACCAGCCTGTCCTTCCTCCCAGGTGGTGTGAAAATGCAAAGGGTAACACTTTAAGAGCAAGTTCTCTCGAAGCGGCAAGGATCATTAATCGCGTACTTCCTGTACCCAGCACGAAGTGTTCACAGCATGCTTTAGCATACATTATCTTGTTTGAGTCTCACAACAGCCCTGTGAATTAGACATAGTCATCATAATTAGCCAATATCGACTGAATGCCTACTCTGTACCAAGCACCATGTTGCCTGCTTTGTATCCATTGACACTCCTCTGGAGTGGCTTCAACAGCATCTCTTAATTTTATCCCCAAAAAGTTTTTTTTTTCTTTTTTAAAAATAGAGATGGGGTCTCACTATGTTGCCCAAGCTGGTCTCAAACTCCTGGCCTCAAGCGATCCTCCTGCCTCAGCCTCCCAAAGTGCTGGGGTTATAGGTGCGAGTCACCACACCCAGACCCCCCAAAAGTTTTGAGCATGCATTCTGTAGGCACTGGGTCTAGGTGCTAGGGATACAGAAGTGAACAAAATAGACAAAAACCTCTTCCTCTGAGGATTAACATCCCTGTGAGTAGACTTAAGAACAGATAATTTTCAAAATAAATAAGTATAATATGTTGGACAGGAGCTGGCCATAAGAATTATGGGGGAAAACAAAGCAGAAAAGGGATTGGGAGGTGACAAGCGGGAGGAAGCCTCCCAGGGACAGTGACGTTTAAGCAAAGACATGGTTAGTCCCATCTTGTGCATGAGGAAACTGAGACTCAGAGAAGGTAAGTGACTTGTAAGTGGCCACACAGCTAAGAAGAGGCTGAGCCAGGAGGCGAACACGGGCAGTCTGGCTCCAGAGTCCGTCTCACCCACATACTCCCAAGGCCTCATTCGGGTAGCAGTGTGCCACCACCAGCCCGCAATGCGAGTTTGTTAATGCATGCGTGGGAGTGCACAGACTTTTCTGACCTCCCACGCAGGTGGCCCCAAAAGCATAGACAAGACCCCAGGATTTGCCGTCAGTCCCAGGTGAAAAAACGAACTCCTTCTCCTTGAAGAAGCCACAGAGGTGACAGCTCTCATGGGACTGGCGCAGACCCCTGAGTCAGGCCATGCAGGGACCACGGAGCTTACACTCGACACAGCCTGCAACTCAGCACCAAAGCTCAGTCCATCTCCTCCCTCCCGGCTGTCGGGGCTTCCAGTGGCACCCCAAGAACCACCCCCACATGTGACCATGGCCACCCGGGCTCAAGTCACAGATGCTCTGTCCCAAGGATGGGAGGAGGTCAACCAGCGCTCATGCCCACATGGAGAGAGACTCAGAATTGTCCTACCTGGCCACCTTCAAAATAGCAAGGAAAGAAACATTTTGAAGTGGTTCTTTCCTTCCCCCCAAAACAGGTAGAGAACATTCAGTGCGATCATACATAAAAACCAGGGAGCCTTACCCACTACTCCTGGAAGCCGTGAATTCAACAGACTTGAACTTCAGAAACATCAGCTAAGAGAATTTCAGTCATTTTCCTTGCCTTCTCTTCAGCTTCTCCCTGGCTTCAGTCCAACCTGTGGAACCTCCTATACCCTCAAGGAAATTCGTTTGGGGAGTAAGAGAGTTTCGCCTCCTCTAGGGATTCATCTTCCTGTCATGTCCTTCTGGTGTGCTTGGTCCTTACTTCCATAAGCAGAATCCAAAACCTAGTTCTACATTCGTATTTGTGTTTCTCTCTCATTGATTCCCATTGCCAGGGCAAACTCACAAGCCGCTCTGAGTACCTGTCCACCCATCTGCAAAATGGGGGTGATAATTCTAACCAGTTGAAGAGATCAAATAGTATCTCAATGAAAACTTATAGCCATTATAAATAAGTACGCCCTGAGCGCTTACCTTACGGGACGCACTCTTTAAGTGCTTGATACTTAAAGATTGCCTTATTTAATCTTTAGGTACGCATTAGTAAGGTGCCACACTGGTGTTCCCGTCTTACTGAGGAAACCAAGGCACAGAGGTTAAACACCTGGTCCCAACTCACAGAACCAGAAAATAGCAGAGCTGGGATTGAAACCTCGGCACCTGGAATGTAGGTGACAGGGCTGAGCCCATAAGGATATTCTCAAGGCATCTCGGCTGAATTTAAGCCAGGCCCGCAGGGAGACTCACTGATTTGCCATCCAGCCCTCTGTCTGGTTCCCTCTCTCCTTGTCTTGCACCCATTTGGTCTCTGGAGTCATTTTTATATCTGCCCCCGTTAGCATTCAGTCAGAATATGAGACACCAGGAATCTAATTTGCCTTGATTGATTGTACCAGTGAGGTGTGGCCCCCGTGTGTGTGACCATGCCAAACAGGACACACTAGAGGAGACGTTAACTGAGAAACAAACTTGGACTTGGCTGGACGAGGAGTTCAGCTCACTGACAGACCCAAAGCGTGAGTCCGGCAGAGGTGAACCCCAAGGAGTGCACACTTTTTCACGCACGGTCATGAAGAAAAGGAAAGAAACCGGTGGCAGGGTATGGGTTTGGAAGGAAGGAAGACGAGAGTTCAAATCCTGGGTCTGCATCTGCTCCCGGTGGGATTCTGGGCCAATCCCTTACCATACCTAAACCTCAGTTTCCTTTTCTCTTAATAGAGGATGGCGACTGCTGTCACGGAGGGTGGCTGTGATGATTTAGAGAAGATAAAATTATGCCAAGTACCAGCGAAGGGCTGGGCGTGCGGTTGGGGCGCGGGGCTTAGTCATCCAGGAGAGGCAGCTGCCTGCTGCTTCCTAGCGCTGTGTAAAAGCAGCAGAGACCGAGAGCTGCCACTGAGCAGCTCCAGCACCACAGCTGGGACCTGGTCCCGACGAGCTGACAGCCCACCTGTTGTCCCTGAGCCAGTTAGCAGGTTCAGAGGCAGAACAGGAGGCAAGAGCTTCAGAGGGAAACTCTTCGTAGATCAAGTAAGCCTTTGATGATCTGGGTGAGAAACCGACCTTTTCCCCTCATACCTCTCTCCATCCATCCCCTGCACTTTTGTCCATTCACCCATCTCGCCAGCACCCTCGGGCAGCCCGCTCTCTCTCCACCCATCCATCCATCTGACCTAATGCCCATCTTTCTGCCTCTCAGTCTTGCAGAGGAATCAGACAAACCTGGGTCAGAATCCGGGGTCCTGCTTCCTAGCCGCTCTTGGGCCAGTCACTAACCTCCCCAAGTCCTCTCATCTGTGAAATAAAGGAAAATCAGAGATAGCTGGGGTGTGGACGGAAAAAGAGAGTGGACCTCCCCATGCCTGGCCTTGGGAAACTCACAAAATGCTCATTCCTTCTGCTTCTGAAATCTGGTGGGGATTTATGCAAGGAAAAAAAAAACCCCGCTGCGTCTTGCATGACATGTAGAGAAATGATTTTTAGAAATTATCTGCAATGTTTTTAGCAGTGTGCATCCCCCCGGGGGCACCGGGGCTGGGCTGGGGCCAGGGCAGTTTGGGGTAGTGGTCTTCCCCCCCATGGACTCACAGCAGAGAGTGCCATCTAGTGGACAGGCACCTGGTGGGGGCCCCTGCAGGTCCCAGGTCACGGCAGCTGCTGTCAGCCAGCCGAGCTGCGAGCCAGGAAGGCCAAGGGAACCCAGCTCTGCTGTCCGCCACCCCCAGACTGCAGGCTACCCTTTTGGGATGTGATACACGTACTGTCTTAATCACTCAGGGGCCTGGACTGCCAGGAGCCTTTGTTTTGTGGACGATAGCCAGCTCTGTTTTGCCTGTCCCAATCCAAGTTCCCTTTAGAGGTTTCCGGGAGAAAGAATAATTCTAATAATTCCAGCAGCTACTGTTTCCTGGGTGTCTATGATGTATTAGAACAGGGGGCCAGGGGCTTCACAGACGAATGATCTAACCTTCCAATGACCCTAGAAGAGACCCAGAATTCGCCCCATGTTCCGTGAGAAAACTGAGGTTTGCTGAGATTGAATTCCTCGCTGGAGGTCAAGGTTGTACGTACCTCCCAGAACCCCAGGGCCCCTTCAAAGTGCAGGAGATAGTTTGAACACTGACTGGAACAAGTCAACTGTAAAAGAAACGTGTGAGTCAATCAGGAATATCTGAATGCTGAATAGATGTTGGATGACACCAAAGAAATGCTGTTAATTTTTTTTTTCACTGTGATAATGGTATTGTGGTTATAGTTTTAAGAAAGACAGGCTTCTTTTTTAGAGATGCAAACTAAAAAAAAAAAAAAAAATGCTGAGGAGAACAATAGGGCATCTGAAATTTTCCCTCTAATCGTCCAGGATGGGGGGACTAGGAGTCAAAGCGGAGGGGCGGTTTGGGGATTTGATGGGACGAAACAGGCTAGGACTTGATGGTGACTGTACCTGGGGGCTGGCAACAGGAAAACCGTGTAAATTGTGATCACAAATATGGACTGTTTTCTCTGCTTCTGTGTTGTTTGAAATTCCTCCATGATAAGAGTAAAAAATAAAGTCCAGGAGATGTGGGAGTAGGAGGGGAGGGAGACATTGAAAAGGGCAGAGAGAACTGGGGTGTGGGGTGCATCTCGGGGAACACGGGCCTCAAAGGGGAAGGACACGAGGGAGGGACCGGAGCGAGGGGCACAAATCAATTGAAGTGGGATGAGCCAAGGTGCAGGGCATAGCAGAACTAGACACCCCCCAGCCACCCCAGGACCCTCCTGGTTCCTGGTCCTCCTCCCCACCCACTGTACTGTCAAGCCCTGCCTTCTCGGGCCTTCTGGCCTCCACCCCTATGCCCCATCCCTGGATCTAGAAAGGCCTGAGGGAGCCGATCCTCAAGACAGAGCCTGACACCTGATGAGTCCTTTCCTGGGATCCTCGTCCCAGCCGGGTTATTGGGACAACACTGTGTCCCGTTAGACACGCTTTGAAGGAGGACCCTGTAGTGGCTGGCTCAGTCATGCTGGGAAGAATCCAGCTGTCTAGCTGTCAAAAGCTCTATTTTTTGCTTTTTTTTTTTGGAAGGACAAGAGTTGGTGCTTTTACCCTAAAACTGTGTGCCAAGCTGCCCCTGGGGTCCTCAGCCCCTCTGTCCCCCGCATCTCTGCCGACCGCTCTTCTGTCCCTCTCAGCGCCGCAGACTGACTTGTGCGGGACCCCAGGTCCACACCCACCTCCCCGGGCCCCCCGGTCCGGCACACCCACG